ACAATAACAGCCAATACTAGAAGAATTGGTGGAAAATGCCGCATTTTAGCTCTCAGAAGATTTGTTTCTTAAATATATATTGAAGATTAACTCAATCCAATTATAAGAGATTATGATAATTATCATGATGACTATCTTCGTAATCATATTGACGACGACAACAATGATTGAACAGCAATATTGTTACTGTAACCACTATGCAGTTGTGGCCTCTATCTACTCTTCTGTAAACAGTAATATTATCTTGACTTTTTTTCCTTTTCTTACACAAAGAAATTCTAAATCATTGATCACTTATACATTTCGGATCCGATTGATACAAAGATGTAAAATTATTTTGAGCTCCAAAAAACAGAGGCAAACAATAACCATATAATTCAAATATACAAGTGATATATAACGGTAAACGAAAAATGGTGATATTGTTTTCGTGTATCCATTAATTTAACTACGTTCGAGTGTTTATCTTGATTTGTGTACAGTTGCATAGAATTATTTGCTTAGTGTGCTAAGATATGTTGGGTTCCTGGTTAGTAACCAAAAATATAAGGGGATCCTAATGTGTCATATCCACAATCAGTTGTTTAGTTGCATCACAAATATATAAGCTAGAGTTTGTAACATAATCTAGTTCCAAGTAAATAAATAATCCAATTGTAAGAGTAATCTCTTGCCTTATGCCTTGAATTATCCCTACCACCATCAACAACAAAAGTTTTTGGCCACATTGGGCCAAGTGTTGGGATTGACTTTGGTCAATGGTCCCATTTCATACTTTTTGTGATATGGTTTTGATCCACACTCTTTTACTCAACATTTGGATACAAATTCATTGATGCTGCTTATACTAGTACGTGTTCGAGTTTTTACAAGTGTTGAGTATGGCAGTTACATGCATTTGTGAGATCTCTCTTAAAACATGATGTGAATATATATATATATACTACCCATTTAAAAAGAAGATCCCATGGATTATATATAATTTCTGTAAATGGTTTTGTTGATGTAAAATGTGTTTTTTTTATGATTTATATAATGAAATGCATGTACATATAATATAGTACTCCACGAATATCATGTTTGATTGATATGGTTATTATCAATTAAGCTATGCATATAACATGTGGTCTCTAATCGACATAAAAAAATGCAATGATATACAATCCCCTCAATATAACTACATATTTAATATTTCCATAAGGTATTCTCCTCATTGGAGAGTATCTCTGTTCTACAATCTAATCTTACCCAACTAAAAGGCATATGTGCGTTAATTTTTTTTGTAATAATTAGAATGAAACATAAGAAAAACTAAGAAAGAAAAAAATGTGAAAAAGAAGCATTGAAATGAGGAATCACACATGGATTTCCATTCTGCGACATTGTACTTTGGATTCTCCACTATATTTTGTACTACACCTTTGTTCACTCGTGCTCTGACCAACCAGATTATCACCCTATAACCCCATTTTTTTTTCTTTTAAATGAATTGGCAAAAAAATAATAGGTATATTATAAAGGGTATGTTTCGACCAAAAGAAAAAAAAAGGGTATGTATGCCTAAATTCGTGACGTATCAAACTAGTTCTCCTCTCTCCTTGTTTTCCGACTCAAATGTTTCTTCACTGTCAAATGTATTTTTTTTTTTGTCAAATCTCAAAAAAAGTTAAGACATATTTGTAGTCTCCAAAATGATGTAATATTTAAAGTTTGGTATGCGAATCTATCAATAAATTACGATTCATGTGGTCATATTATTAAAATATTAACACATGATGTAATTTTATTTTGGGACAATTACAAAAATACCATTTTTTGTGTGCACATTTGCAAAAATGCCATTTAGGGGTGTCTATTTACAAAAATGCCACTAATTATAGATTTATAAAACCTATATCTTAAAATTCTAAACCCTAAAAAATGTTTTGACACCTAAAACTCCCTAAACACTCAAAACTAAACCCTAATAGAACATAATTAACCCAAACATAAATAATATAAAGAAAAATAATTTTGAAAAAGTGGCATTTTTATAAAGATTTCAAAAGTGTGGCATTTTTGTAAAGTGACACTTAAAAAGTGGCATTTTTTAAAATTTCTCTTTTATTTTGGTATGCGAATCTATTACTGAATTACCATTCATGTGGTCAACGATTTGCAGTGATATGTTAATTACTTTGACCAAAAAAAGAAAAATACTTCTACCAAAAACTATTCAAATCAAATGTATTTAACTTTCTGGAAAATAAATAATTTTCTTTGGTACACCTAATACATTTTTTCCTACTATTTACGCCATTGATAAGGCCAAAATTCCACACATATATACCAGAAAAAAAACTTTGGCATTACAAAATAGAATTCTTTAATGTTTTACCAAAATAAACCATACAAATCTCTAACAATATTTTATTCGAGAACCAAAACCGAATTCCACTTTTCTAATATAC